GAAATAAAGATTTAAGACGAAGATGTTGGTGGAGATTTCATCCGAATCTTTAGCTGAAGATTTGAAACGAAGATCTAGGAGAAGATCTAAGCCGAAGGTTCAAATGAAGACTTGAGCCGACGGTTCGGGAGAAGATTTAAGCCAAAGATGTGGGTGAAGATCTAAGCCGAAGATTTAGGTGGCGATTTATGCAGAAAATGTGGGTGAAGATTTCAGCCGGAGATGTATGTGAAGATTGAAGCCGAAGAGTTGGGTGAAGCTTTGAAGCGAAGACTGTTTAAGCCGAAGATTTAAATGAAGATTGAAGCTGCAGATTGAACTGAAGATTTAAGCCAACGATTTAGGTGAAGATTTAAGCCGAATCATATTTAGGTGAAGAGTTAAGCCGAAGATTAAGTGCAGATTTAAGCCGAAGATGTAAGTGAAGATTTAAGCCGAAGAGTTGGGTGAAGATTTAAGTCGAAGAATTGGATGAACACTTAAGACGAAGATTCAGGCGAATATGTGAGCAGAAGACTTGAGTGAAGACTTATGTTAGCAGAATATGTGGGTGAATATTGAAGCCGACGTTTTAGGTGAAGAGATAAGCCGAAGATTCTGGTGAAGATTTAAGCCGAAGACTTGGGTGATGATTGAAGCCGAAGATTTAAGTGAAGATATAAGCCGAAGATCTCACTGAACATTTGACCGAAGGTTTGTATTGAGATTTAACCAGATGGTCCAGATGAAGATTCAAGCCGAAGATTTGAGCGAATATTTAAGTGAAGATTCAAGCCGAAGAGTTAGACCGAAAATCCGAGTGAAGACTTAGACCGAAGATTTGGGTGAAGATTTTAAAACCGAAAGATTTGGGTGAAAAATTGAGCAGATAGTTCGGGCGAAGATTTAAGCCAAAGATTGGGGTGCATATGTGAGCAGAAGATTTGGATGAAGATTTTAGCAAAATATTCGGGTGAATATTTAAGACGAAGATTCGGGTGAAGATTTAAGCCGAAGGTTTCAGTGAAGATTTAAGCCGAAGATTTGGGTGACGATTTGAAGCGAAAAGTATGTGAAAAGTTAAGCCGACGAATTCGGTGAAGATTTAAGCCGAAGAAGAGGGTCAAGACGTAGGCCGACGATTTGGATGAAGTTTAAGCCGAAGTTTTGGATGAAAACTTAAGCAATAGATTTGAGTGAAGATACAAGCCAGCGGTTTTGGTGAATAATCAAGCCAGAGATGCACTTGAAGATTTAAGCCGAGGATTACAATGAAGATTTCAGCCGACGATTTAGGTTTAGATTTGCGCCGAAGATGTAGGTAAAGACTTGGGCCAAAGATTCGAGTGAAGATTTAAGCAGAAGATTTGGGTGACTATTTGAGCCGAAGATTTAGGTAATGATCTAAGACGAAGAATTCGGTGAAGACTTAGACCGACGATTCGAGTGAAGATTTAGACTGAAGATTAGGGTTAAGATTTACTAAGCCAGAAAATTGGGTGCAGATTAAGCCGAAGACTTGGGTGAAGATTTAAGCCGAAGAATGTGGAGAATTTTTCAGCAGCAGATTTGAGTTGAGTGAAGATCTAAGCCGAAGATGTAGGTGAAGAGTTCAGCCTGAGAAGTAAGTGAAGACTTAAGCCGAAGACTTGAGCAAATGGACTGGGTGAAGATTTAGCCGAAGGTTTGGGTGGAGATTTAAGCCGAAGATTCAAATGAAGATTTCAAGCCAAAGGGTCGAGTGAAGATTTAAGCATAAGTTTGTGGTGAAAATTGAAGCCGAAGATTTGAGTGAAGACTTAGACCGAAGATTAGAGTGAAGATTCAAGCCGAATGTTTAAGTGAAGATTTAAGCCGAAGTTTTAGATGAAGATTGGAGCCGAAGGTCTTCATGAAGATTTAAGCCAAATATTCAGGCTAAGATTTAATCGAAGATTTAGGTGAAGATTTAGGTGAAGATTTAAGCCTGAGAAGTGAGTGAAGACTTAAGCCGAAGACTCGAGCAGATGGACTGGGTGAAGATTTAGCAGAAGGTTTGAGTGGAGATTTAAGCCGAAGATTAAATGAAGATTTAAGCCGAATACTTGGGTGAAAATTTTAGCAGATGGTTTGGGTGAAGATTTAAGCCGAAGATTCGACGGAAGATTTAAGCTGAAGATTTGGGTGAAGATTAAGCGGACCCCACCTTAACGTCGGCACACCCAAGCGCCCCTAGCGTTCAAGAATTGGCTCGCCGGCGACGATGGCGAGGACAACAGAAACTCGCACAGAGGCGAGCACCGGATCGTTGAAGACAAAGAGAAAGAGAAAGAGAGAGAGATGAGCACCAAATCATCGAGGACAGAAGTTCGCACAGAGAAAAACACCACGGGACATATGTTTCCCTTTACGCACCTAGTTCACCTTCTGCTTACAAAGGCATCCCTTTCCGACCATCTGCTCAGGGGTGGCTGTGCACTGAATGTGAGGGGAGGAGGCAGGAGGAGGAGAAAGAGGATGAGGAGAAGTGATGGAGAGAGCGTTTGTATACTTAGTGTTTTTGCTCCTCCTCCTGCTCCTTCTCCTGCTACTAGCTATCCTCTTCCCATCTCTCCTCCTCATCATCCTTCTCCATCTCCTGCTGGTCTCCTCCTCCTCCTCCTCCTGCGCCAACGACTGCGAATCGCTCTGGACGCGGCACGCCAGTCCCCATGGCCGCGCCGAAGATTCGGGTGAAGATATAAGCAGAAGATTTGGATGAAGATGTAAGCCGAAGATTTGGGTGAAGATTTGAGCAGATAACTTGAGTGAAAATTTCTTGTGGTGAAGATTGAAGCAGAAAGACTTGAATGCTGATTTAGCCAAAAATTTTGGGTGCAGATTTGAGCCGAAGATTTAGGTAAGGATCTAAGTCTAAGATTTAGGTGAAGATTTAAGCCGAAGATTTGAGTGAAGATTCAAGCCGAAGATTTGACTGAAGATTTAAGCCGAACATGTGGGTGAAGGGTTTGAGCAGATGGTTTGAGTGAAGATTTAAGTCGAAGATTTTGGCAAAGATTTAAGCAGATGGTGTGGGTGAAGGTTTCAGCCGAATATTTGGGTGAATATTTAAGCCGGCGATTACAGTGAAGATGTAAGCCGAAGATTTGGGTGAAGAATTGAGAAGATGGCTTGGGAAAAGATTTAAACGGAAGATGTGAGTGAAAATTTATGCTTAAGACTTAAAAGGAGATTTGAGCCGACAATGTGGGTGAAGATTTGAGCAGATGGTTTGGGTGAAGATTCAAGCCGAATAGTTGGGTGAAAATTTCAGCCGAAGAATTGACTGAAGATTTAAGCTGAAGATTTGGGTGAAGATTTGAGCAAATGGTTTGGGTGAAGCTTTAAGCCGAAGATGTGAGTGAAGATTTAAGCCAAATATTTGGGTGAAGATTTTTAAGCCGAAGATTCAGGAGAAAATTTAAGCAATCTGAAGATTTAGGTTGAGGGCGAGGAGGAAGGAGAATGGGGAAACGATGGGGAAGGATGCGAGGACGGGGAGTGGATAAGAGGGATCGGCTGGAGGAACAAGAAGGAGTTTGGAAAGAGAGCGGTTCCTTTTCAAACCTCTCAAGGCCCGAAAGAACGCCGCATCAGCAAAAATCTTAAAATCGCGGGGTTCGAAACCGATCCGAAAGCCATAGCCGAGAACAAGGAGGAGGAGGACGACGAAGGAAGAAGAGGAGGAGACGGAGGAGGACACGGAGGAGGAGAAGAGGGCAAATCCAAAACAGAAACATGATCGTCGACTAGAGAAACTGGGCCTCCGCGCGCGAATCTCACAATACATGGAATTACAAAAAAACATGGAGGAGGACGAGGGAAGAAGAGGAGGAGACGGAGGAAGAGAGGAAGGCAATCCCCCCCCCCAAAAAAGCATGATCGACGACTAGAGAAACCGGGCCTCCGCGCGCGCATCTCACAATACATGGGATAAAAAACATGCGCGGGCACGGGTAAGAATTGGTCTTCGCGCAAGCGCTCTGGAAAAAAAAATGTCGTTGAGTACGAGAAGTAAGACCCGTCGCGCGCGCGGGAATACATAGGATTTGATAATACATTATCGCTGACTAGGCAAAAGCATCTCTCTCGCGCGCGCAAACCATGTATGAAAAACGTCCCTGTATTGTTTTTACCCGTTGTCTAGGGAAGTGGGCCTGTGCGTCGGTCTGGCGGCCATGTAGTCGCCGTCGCCGACCCGTCCCCGACTCGGCGCTGGCCATCGTCTGGGCCTGTGCGTCGGTATGGCGGCTATGTAGTCGCAATCGCCACCCCGTCGCCGCCTCGTCGCGCCCGTCGTCTGGGCCTGTCTGGCGGCTATGTTGCCGCCGTCGCCACCCCATCGCCGCCGCTCGTCGCCACCGCTAAATTGCACCACATAGATTGCTTTACGCTGCTTTGCATTACTTTGCGTAGCTGTACATTGCGTTGCTTTGCCTTGACTTGCATTTGTGTGCATTGCATTGCATTGGTTTGCATTGCGTAGTTTCGCTCTGCCTTGTGTTGCTTTGCCTTGCTGTGCATGGCATTGCCTTGCATGGAGTTGCATTGATGTGCCTTGATTTGCATGTATTTGCGTTGCCATTGCTTCGCACCACATAGATTGCACAGCATAGGCTGCACCACCTGTATTGCACAACACAGATTGTACCACAAAGGTTGCACCACATGTATTGCACAACATAGACTGCAGAATGTGCACTGCACAGCATGGATTGCACCACCTTGATTGCTTCATATAGATTGCACGACATATATTGAACCACATAGATTACGCAACATAGATTGCACACCATATCTTACAAAAAATAAGATGCACCGCATGGATGGCACAGCAAAGACTACATAACTTTGACTGCGTCGCATAGTTTGCACCACATACATCGTGCCAAACCGATTGCACAACATCGATTGCACCCCAAGGATTGCTTCACATAGGCTGCACCACACAGATCGCACCACGTACATTGAACAGTTCAATTGCACACCATATATTGCACAACATGAATTGCACCATATGTAGTGTGCCATACATAATTTGCACAACATAGATTGCCAGAAACACATTGTATGGGGTCCACGCTGGCTAACCTGTACATGCAGGTATATGCAAGTGCACACATATAGATTCCAGCTCCAAAACATCAGATGCCCATGCGACTGCTACACCATGTTACTCGAGTCCACCCATCGATCGGCGTCCCAGCATTGCATTGCGGCCTCAATAAACACGAGCCCAGCACGCGGGCACGCGCTCGACGAGACCAAATGCGACGGCTGAACTTGCAGGGGCAACGCATGCATAAGCATTGGGAAACCGATAACGCAAAATGTAAGTTTCGACTTTCCTCCATCTGACTCGGACAAGAATGAGTCCACGGTTCACAGCTTCATGACCGTCGCTGGCCACATGTTCAGATTTGTCGCGGCAATGTTCGTCGGCGCACCATCGTCTTAGAAACGGCGAAAAATCGCCGCGCAACAGCGTAGAGACCTCATAACCAAAGCACTATAAAGCATGCCGTCTGACCTTAGAACTTGAACTGATCAGGAGCATTTTCGAGCGGTTCTGTACGGATCCTCACTGCTTGTGGGCGCTGGCAAAACAGCGACGCCAACAGACGCTCCCGATGAGGAATGGACGCCCTCCCCTTTTTCCCACTCCACACCAGCCTCCACACCAGCCTCCCCCCAGCCCGCCCACCCACCAGCCGAAGGCCACGACAGGTGCGATTCCACCCAGGAATGGAACACCCGAGAAGCGCGATTCTCTATGGGGGTGGGCCTTCGGGAGCACGATATAATGATACGAAGGGAAGAAGAAGAGGAGGACAAGGAAGAGGCGGAGGAGGGGGACGCGAGGCCAACGCCTGGCGCGAATCTGCTTCAGCAGATCCCCGCCCCGCGCATCCACTCCATGGCCGTTGTGTGGAACAGGTCAGGGTCCTCGAAGTAGACTGAGTGGCCGTGGCCGTGGCACGACACGAAGGTGCAGTTCCTGCAGTGCTGAGCCGACCTGGCAAGGCAGAGCGAGGTCTCACGCAGTGCACCTCCCCCTTCTGACGGACGAGGTGCACGGACTGCGAGCTCTGGGGGACCGAAGGCCATGACTGCCACTCGAGGAGGCGTGTTGCGTAGACGCACCGCCAGGGAACACCCACATCCAGCTTCTGGAGCCCTGCCCTGGGTCCCTGGAGAGCGGGTAAACGCTTCACCGCCCGCAGGGGGGGGGGCCAGAGGCCGCGTACCTCCCCCTGCCTCGGGGAGATGCAGCGCGTAGACTCCTCGCGCCGACCTGGAGAGCATGGCCCGACTGAAGAACCAGTCGAACTCCGCAGACAGCATCAGCATCGGGATGTCCAGCTGCGCGACGCGATCTAGCGCCACAGGGTTGTCCCGGCAGGCCTGTTCCACCTCACTGGGGACCCCACTGTTGAAGCTTCTCACCTCGAGAAAAAGATTCACCATGTCCGGCCGCTCCTCCTGAAACTTCGGGTGGAGGCCCTTCATCGGAAATTCCTCCGGCCACTGTAGAGCAGGCCTAAACAGAGCTACGTCTGAAAGCCTCTGGTCTTCGTCATCTCTTTCAATCCCCCGATTTGTGCAACACATTGCCAAACCGGCTACGCGACCAGGGAATGCCGCGGCAGCATGAACGCCCGCGCACCCACTCATGGACTGGCAGAATATGACCGCTTGGTCGACCCCTTCGGCATCGAGGATCGCTATCAAGTCCTGCGCGTGGGTTGCTCCGCCCCTGAAACCTTGCAACAGCGCAGGGGTGATGGGGGCCGACGAGCCGAAGAAGCGCAGGTCAATCGCAATGCAAAAGAGAGACTGCTCTGCGAACAGGGGCAGGTTCTGCCACCACGAGCAGCAGTTTCCAGCGCTGCCATGAGTGAAGACCAGTGCTAGGTGTTTCGGTGACCCACAAGTGATGTAATCGATAGAACAACAAGAGGCGCCCAAACATAAACGCTCAAAGGTCTTCGTGGACCTTTCGAACGTTTACGAGTGCTCGCTCAGTTTGTCATTCTTCGAATGAAGAATGTAACCGTCTGGAGCGGTTGCGAATTTACTCTCGCACACGACGCCGCGCCTGGCGAGAAAATCGGCCTGCGCTGCCGCACCACCCCGGGCGCTGGTGCAGGCCTCGAGCGGCTCCCGGGTGGCCTCCGCCGAGGTCATCGATTCGCCCCGCCGATGAAGCACAGTACTCAAGGAGAACACACAGTTTGAGCCTATTGCTGTGGCTCGACACAGCGGCGGCGTTGACGATGGTGCTGCTATGCAGTCGATAAGGATAGTGAGGGACACAGCGACAGATTCGGCAGCAGCGGCAGTTACAGTAGACGTGATGACGCAGCGGCGGCTGAGACTCAGGTCGAAGAGACCTGGAGCGCGCCCAGCTATGACCTGACACCACGCCCACCGATGGGGAACCAGGAGATCTGCATGCATGGCGGACTGGCCTTCAGAGCTTCCCCCTCCCTAACTAATCCATCAGTCCCTCTCTACGGCAAGTTCACGTCGCGATAACGTCAGCATTGGTTCCTGACACCGCCTGGACCGTTCGACCTCGAACCATCGCGGCATCCCAACTGCGCAGATCGTTCGATGTCGACCCGTTCTGGGCCACAGGCGGCGTTCAACCCTGAACACGCGCACTGGGGTCGTCGCAGCGCCAACGCGGCGCGAACCGTCATACTTCCCACCCACCCTCCCCTCCGTCCCCTCCCCGCACGTCGCCTCCCTCTCTCCCTCCCTCCCACCCTCTCCCAGAGAGGTCTGAGAGCCGCCTCAGTGCCAATTACCCCAGGGTGCTCTCCAGAGCAGCCCTGTGGGGAGCCCATGCTCCCCCCCACCACCCACAAGACGCCCCCTGCCCCGCTGGGCATCGTAGAATCCGACGTGTATCCTCGCCGGGGCGCGCCGTTCATTTCAGATCGCGGGCGCAGGGTCCCAGGGCCACTCTGCAAGAAAGGTGAAGGAGGACGACGGGGACGGAATTCGGACGAAGAGAGCAAGGGGGAGGGGAGAGGAATTGGTGGCATCAGGAGGTAGAGAGGAAAGAGGGTCGGGGGGCGTTTCCCACCGCGCTGGTTTGTAGAACTTCCTCTCCGGCAAAGGAAACCGCATGAGGGGACCGGAGGACGTAAGCCTGCCAACGAGCGCCCAAAGTCCTTCTCTTGAGATCGAATCCACTCACATTCGGCTCGACCCCCTCACTGGGCGCATTTCCGGCGAATTTCCCGAGCCGAGCACGGCCGTGATGACGACAAAGGCCCCTCGAAAGCCAACCTAGAAAATGTCAAGGTCGGCGCAAAAAATGCAAGAATGAGAAATCGGAGGTGGAGGACGAGGCGGGCCCGCTTTTGCCGCGACACCCGCGCGCTGTTTCGCCGCCGCGGCCAACCGCCCAACGCTGCCATGCTGCAGCAGCCGCCTGCCCTCGCGCGCCTCCAGGGCGAGTACGTCAAGGGGCGTCGGTCGGTCCAAGCATATGTTTTAACCTCGACCCGTGGGAGTTCCCTCGTGTTGGCTCCAACAAACGGTTTTACGCGCCAGAACCATCCGTAAGGCCCCCAGCGGGCCCGTGCGCGCAATCCTGGGGAGTCCGAATCAAACCTCTCGAGCCCCGTTCCCTCTCCGACGTAGGCAACCACGTGTGAACCCGACCCCTGCAGGTCAGATTTCTGACACACTGGTGCTGAAAAGGGAGCCTGCAGCCAAGCGAACCCGTATGGGAATGTCCAATACTTCACTGTCGATTGGATCCACCCATCTAGGGTTCGCACGTGGTCGCAGACGGAGGGCGACGGCCGCTGACGCAGGACCTGACGCCCTCGGCCATTGTCGAGGAGCATAAACACAGCATCACCATAAGCGTTCGGAAAATCGCGCGGATTTCTTGGGTCGGTGCTGAGCCCCCTTGCCATCGTGCGAAACGCGCCACCTGCGGCGCCAGAAACGCCGTCAGATGGGGCGCGGCGCCGATCCAAGAAAGTCGTGCGAATCCCCGAGAATCGACGCCCGGGCCCTTCATTATTATTCGACGGCAAACGCCCCAGCGGCGCGCGACGACGGGCAGCCGAGGCCCCCCCCGAGCCCTGGCCGCGGCCCCTCCGCGGCCGGACCGCTGCCCGTCGACCCCCACCGGCTGGGCAGTGGACGCGTTGCTTCACCGTCCTGCGCACGAAGATCGGCGCCTGCCCCGGGGGGAGCTGCGCTCACAGAAAAGAAGAAGCGGAAAGGGGCAGGGGGAGGAGGAGCAGGAGGAGGAGTTTTTCTTTCCCGCAGCGCACACTCTCAGTGGTCAATAATCCTGCTGCGGGCCACGCCACGCATGCACCAAGAAAAACAAGTTAAGCAAAAAGGAGCAACGACGGGTACACTGCACCAGGAGTCCGTTGTCCTTGGGGGCGCGTGCTCCCATCAGAAGTGGACCGTCGCTAACCGTGCGAATCGCCCCTCCTGCACAAGCCCGATCCATCATCACTCCCCACCGAGCGACTGGCCCAACCCACCACAGCAGCAAAGGAAAAGCACACAAAAGAGCATTATATCTACAGATATCTCTATATATATAACACACAACAACTTCGCCGCTAACATCCGAAAACAATCAGCCAACCGCAAGAGACCCACAAGGGCCGCCGAAACTGTCAATGACATGCTGGGGCAAGGGACGCAGGGGAGGGGAACAAAGGAAGCCACGGGAAAACGGGGGAACAAAAGCCCTACCAGGTCACGAGGCCTCCCCCAACGTGGCCCCACACAGCAAAGTGAGAACAGCCAATCGTCGCCATCTAATTGCTCAGTCCACGACGCCAGTAGACCACCGCGGGGACAGATGCAGACGAGGCAACGCTCGAGGTTCGGGCACACACGATAACGCCGAAGGTCATCTGCAGACTCCACCGCGCATGCAAAGGCGAAACCTAGCAGAGAGGTGCGAAGACGGCTCGACGCGCAAACTCCCCGACACAGTGCCACGAGGACACCTGCGACAAGGCACATCGCGCTGTCTCTCTATATTTGCCGCACCCTGAAGGCCAACACCTGGAAATCGGCGACCGAAAACGGACAGGCCACACCCGCTCGAGCACTCTCTGGGCCAGGGCACGGAGAAACACCATGGGGCCGCGCAGGGCCTTCAACCGCTCCAAAGCTTTTTGGTCCGAAGCTGCTTCCTGGGAATGAGTGCGAGAATGGGCGCCAAGAAGTCACCCAGTTCGCCCGCCGTCGCCCGCGTCCCAGACTGTCTCCATCAAGCCCAAGTGGTCCACGCGGGGATCAACGCATCGTCTTCCGGAAACCGCTAGAGTCTCCATATCATGCTGAATACCACCTAGACTCGAACAAGACGTCGGGACTCAAAAAATCATTGTCATCGGGAAACAATCAACACCCAAAACTTCCAGGGGAGCTCCAGACGCCCGCAGCCCAAACATCTTCTCTCTTGAGAAGGCATGGCGAGGGCCGGCCACGATCACCTGCAACGCCTCGTAATTGGTCTCCGTAACTGCCGCGTCACGGGGCACAACTGCAGCTCGCGTGCCAGGATCTACACGCAGTGAAAATGGAAGAGTAGGATCGTCCGCGGGGGCCGAAGCCCAAGCCCAAGCCCTCGGAACCTCCGAACAGTCATCCAGAACAGCGGGGTCGCGTCGCCCCAGACTTCCGACAACGCGCCAGGCCCGAGCCAGAACCCTAGGCACAAGACAGCACGGGCAAAACCAATGACCTGGGCAAACCTGCTTTTCCGCCGCAAGTGACCAGCGAGCTGCTCTGGCTTCAGTGCCTGCGCGACTAAGACCTTACACTCGGGGATGCCCAGGCCAAGACCGACCGCCCTGTCGAACGAGAGCATCAACTGCAAGGCAGGCTGAGGACCGGAGAGGACGTTGGAGAGACGGACGCAGAGAACGTCGGCGCAGGCTCGCACCCGCGGGGCGCGCCCCGTTAGCTTCGCTCACCCATCTCAAGACAGGACCCAGAGCATGCTCAAGAAGTGGCATCGGCGCAAGATCCCCCTGCTGAACCACCCCCGCAACAAAATACTCCAATGGCGACGCGCCAGGGGAATTCATCGCTGCAAAACTGCCCCGAAACAATTCCACGCAGAAACCGCGGACTTCATCTGGAACACGCATCGTCGAGAGACCTTCAAGGAGCCACGCCATGATCAAAGGGGGGGCGGCCTTGAAGTCAGCGAAGCAAACTCCCAAGCGGCGCCCGCCAACCAACATCTGTCGGAGCCCCCACCACTCGACCTCGACAACGTCGCCCAGCAACCCCCTTTTCCAAGGAACGCGCCCTCGCTGGGTCGGGTCGATCGCGCCCCGCGAAGCCCTCTACAAACAAATCAAGAATTTATCGTTCAGAATGGTCGCATCAGCGCTCGCCGGCGCCAGTGTTCAAGTCTTGCCAGAGGCGCCAAACAACACCGCAAGATTATCGTCTTCCTTCAGGTCTTCCAATGGGAAACACACGCGGCTCCTCCTCACGCCCGCAGAAAACGCTCTTCCAGAAGCCTGACACATCTCAGAGTACACATCAAGCGCAACGTCAGCGGGCCCCCCCCGCCGTTCAACACCCACGAGGACAACCAACCCCCCCCAGGGCTGCGCGGCGTTCACGGCAAACCCTTGCAGCACATGACCAACGTTCAATCGCACGGAAATGATTTTAATTTGAATGGCCCCCACATGTTCCAGGATCTCAGGCCAGAGAAAACGAGCGGGTTCCTGACGCGCGAAAACATGCCCCAATGCGCTTCGAGCGCAGCAGCAGACGCATCGGGAGACGGGCGGAAACGGGCGTCGGGGCCCAGGATTGCCAACAGCCCCCACCGTCTACGCATCTTAGCCCACGCTCTCTGCAATTGCTGGATCCGCGCCACCCTCTCGCATTTCGCCTTGCCCCCCCCACCACCACCACCCCCACCCCCGCGCGCGCGCCCGCCCGAGCCCCGCCCGCCCGCCCCCCTGCCACGAAGCCTTCAACGCCTGCATCAGCACCACCAACCCAGCAACATCCGAGCAACGCCCCCTGCCAAATACTGAAGCACATGGAGGTAATTAGGCCCCCATTGCCTGAACACACAGCGAAAGGCCCCAGCACCCCATCCCCGATACGCCATCATAACAAAGCGCAACCTCTCACATTGGGAATTCGGGGGCCGAAGACGCAAACAGGACTCGCAAGCCAGGGCCATCTGCCAGGAGATCCCCTGGACCCGAGCGAGCTTATCCCTGGGAGAAAACTCGCGGAGCATATCATGCTGGGACATCCGCGCGGGAACCTGAGAGGGCGAGGCGGCGGGGATCCTGGTCGAATTGGCGACGACAACAAGGACATGGTCGAATGGCGAACAAGTCCATTTGCATGCCCGGCGGCGTTGGCTGTGACCAGGAGATGATGCAGAGCAGAGGCAAAGAGGGAGCTGCAGATGCGACCAAGACGAGCCGCACCACGCACCGCGCCTGCGAACACGCCCCTCCTGGTCGGGTCAGGTTGCACAACTCTGCCCGAGACCCACTCTCCGACGCGTAAGCATCCGCCCGCTGCCGACCTCCCGCTAACCGCGCCCCATAAACCTGCCCCCCTCAACCTCCAGGAAAATCGACCCCCCTGCCATTGCGCACATCGCATGAGCAGCGGATGGGGGAATGGTCAGAATGGTCTGAATCAGTCCTAGGCACCTGCGAAACGCCCCGACAGGGTCAGAGGTGGTGGGCATGTGAAAATTCAGCACCACGAGATCCCCATTCAAACCCTCCAGGCACGATGCCAAAATCCGCCTTGGGACGACCACCACACACGAAGTGCAAGATTCGAACTGCGCCACCTGCCCACTTCACTTGACAATACAGCGACAACTCCCCCGCCAGCAGACGGGCCAATCAAAGAGTCACGTCCAACAGCGTTCCGACATCGCTCTTCACGCACAAGCATATCACAGTCAGCGCGCGTGCAGCATCAGAAGAGAACGGCGCGGGTATTCCAAGCGTAGACAGAAAGACAAGAGCTGGGAGAGAAAACCCCGCTCACCCCCGATGCAAAGGTCACCGGGAGCGAACCCACCTCCCGGATTCAAATCAAAAATTCGGTTGGCTGCCTGAGCCCCACTCTGGCTTTGCGCGGGCGCGCGAGTCCGAGTCCCCGCCCCAGACGGCCTTCCACCCAAAGGTGGACCAAGGCCCTGGGGAAAGCGAACAAACACGCCAGACTGGTTTCCCGAAGCCCCAAGGCAAGAATCTCCCGGACAGCAAGGCCCTCCACACAAGGGGACGAAGTTGGTCAAGAAGCGTCTGGATGCAGCCCGCACGGGCCCCCTTACCAAAGCTACTCAGGCCGTTAGGATCAAGCAGGAGGCCAGGTACACCATTCTCTGACATCGCGGCCGTCGCCACCACAACTGGGCACACAGGGGCGAGAAGACCATCGATCTGCCCTCCAAAACCGCTGCTCTCGACCGTCAACTCTCCCAGTACTGTGCCGATGATTATCCTGGAGAGGGAGGAGAAGGACGAGAAGGCGGAGGGGGGGCGGAGGGGGTGGAGGTGAAGCAGGGGAAGGACGAGGATGAGGAGGAGGAGGAGGAGGAGGAGGAGGAAAACAAAACCCCTCCCTCCCTCCTCCCAAAACCAAACAGAAAGCAATGGTGCACAGCGTTTGGCGCTTTCGGTGCAAGGAAGTGCTGCGTATTGTTGGTTTGTTTGGCTGTTTGTATTTGAAACAACGAAACACTGTGTATGTGTTTGTTGTTGTTGTAGTGTGAGGCACAGAGAGGGATGCTGGGAGGGAGGTCCTTTCGAGCATTGGGGCTTGGACAACAAAACAGTGTTTCCTTGCATCCCTGGCGCCAAGAAAAACATCAAACAAAAATACACAGGGTGCCCTTGCACCGTGGGCACCAAACACTGTGTATGTTTGTTTTTTGGGGCGCAGAGAGGGGTGCTGGGAAGGAGGTCCGTGCGAGCATTGGGGCTGGCAAAAAAAAGGTTCCTTGCAACCCAGACCAAAATCTATACACATAAATATATATATATATATATATATATATACACACATACAAGACTGCAGTGGCGCTTCGCGCCATGCACCTTGGTCCTTCAAGCTTGGTATGCCGGCGGAATGGCAGGAAGGTCAAGCCGACAATTTAGCGATAACTTCTGGTTGCCTTTTCCGGCAAAGCCGCTATAATGATGTTATTCGTTTTCCCTCCTCCATGAATATTGTTCCTTATGTTCGCCATACCCTGCGCATTCTCCCCATCCTCCTCAGCTCTTTTTTGCGGAGGCTCCTCCTTGGAGAGCCTCTAGGGGCCTCACAAAAGATTTTTCGGGCTTTCTTAAGGCCTTCTGGAGGCCTCCTGGGCGTATTCTGGGGGCCTCCGGGGGCTTCCTCGGGCCACCCTGCCTCCAACCGCCGTCTCCCTGAACGACCGAATCACGATTTGGAATTCTTCGGAGGGTGTCTTTAAGCCATCTTGGGCCACCATGGGGCTCTCTGAGGGCCATCTTGCACCCGTGTTGTGCCGTTTTGGGGCTCTCTTGGACTGCCTGGAAGCCCTTTCGGATGGTTGTGGGGCGATTTGGGAGCCTCCCAGGCGGCTTCGGACGCCCAGAAGACCGCCGTCTTGGAGCGTCGGGAAGCCGAAAAGAGGAGAACCCAAAAATTAACTAAAAACCCACAGAAAATCAATGATGTTTGCCTCGGGGGGCCTTCTTGGGAGTGCTCTTGGAGGCCTCTTTGGAGCCGTCCTGGAGGCCTCTTGGGCCATCTTGAGGTCACGTTGGTCACTCTTGGAGCGCTCTTGTGCTGTCTTGGGGGTCTCTGGGACGTCTCCGATGACCCCCCTGATCGCCCTAAGTGTGCTGGGAAGGCTTGGCAGAACGCCTTGCGAGGCCCGGTGGCCGCTTCGAGGCCCGTCCGGAGGGCCCCAAAGCCCCAGGTCCCGGGATCCCGTTTTTTTTTGGGGGGGGACGGGTTTTCCCCCTGCCCGGGCTTATAAAAACATAGGAAGAGGAATATATGTATATAAGGGCTTCCTTGCACCGAGAGCGCCGCGAGGAGGAGGAGGAGGAGGAGGAAGAGGAGGGGAAGCAGGAGGAGGAGGAGGGGGAGGAGGAGGAGCAGGACGAACCATGCGAAGAAAACATGCGTAGAAGAAGCCAGCAGGGGAATCAGGAGAGGCCGACACATAACAGAAACGGAGAGAGGTATGATCTTGGGGGAGCGACCACTGATACATATATACATATATATATGTGTGTCTACATCTCCATGTACCCATATGTATAAATATGCGTATACATGTGCATGTACAAATACACATATCTATACTTGTACGCGTGCATATACACATACAAATACATATACCCACATATACATATGCATACGAATAGACTGTAACATCTATATACGTATGCCTACACCTTTTTACATATACATATACATTTGCAACCATAGAAACATAGTTATGCCTATAATGAATATATGTATATGTATTTCCATCATCCCTCACTCCCTCCCTCGGCCACCCCCCCTCAAAGGGCTGAGCCCAGGATGTGCGAAGCCCAGGATGACGCCCAGGATGGCGAGGGAGGCCGAGGGCGGCGGCAACGAGGAGGGCGAGGAGGGTAAGGAAAGGGCAAGAGGGCGAGCAAGAGGAGGACAGGATAACCAGGAGCGCAGGACGGCACCGAGACAGCGAGGATGAGGATAGCGACACAGGCAAGCCAACAGCCCTGCCAGGCGCGCCTGTGAAGTGCGACAGCTCCCCCGCTGAGACAAGCACACCGTGTTCACCAGGCAAACTTGGGCTTGCCGCGCCCGCAAAGCAGCTTGTCGACACGCTCTTTCCAGAGCGGTCTGAACAGCCTCTCGGGAAATAAACACATACCGGCACCGCTGCTCCCCAGACCTCTCCCGGGGTGCGTTCTGACCAGGATTCCGAGGCGAATCCATCCGAAGCGACGAGAACCCCCAGGAGGCCCAAAAAGTCGAAAACTGTGTATCTATGTATTTCTACCCTGAGCCTCGGCAATAGCGCGGGGACCCCGCGCACCAGCAACCCGCGCTGGCGTTCCTCATCGGGCGAGTCGAAGCAGACCTCCGGTAGCACAGCCCTCGCCACCTCGTCCAGCGCTGCGGCCAAACGTTCCCCGGCGGCGCTGTCGGACGGGGCCGCCGCGACCGCCTGGGACTGCTGCTGTGCCGTACTGACCTGAACCTCGAGCCGCTCGTAGTGCATCCGCGGCAGCAGCGGCTCCGCCCCGCGCAGCCACCCGATGGCCTCCGCGCTCAGCTGCGGACGCCGGGGCGCACTGGGCCTCGCCACAGGGCGGTCTGGATGCCTCGCGTGGCCGCCCGCCGCCGCGGGCCCGTCCGTCGCCACTGCCGGCCCTGCGCAGTCGCCAGCTGCTGCCGCTGGCAACGCCGCCGCGGGCCCACGGGTGCCACGCCCCGCGGCCGCGGCACGGCCGTGCGGCTCCTCGGAGATCTCTGGCGCTGATGGCGCGGTCGACTCGACTGGCGCGGCCCGCTTTGCCAGCGCGGCCAGCGCGTCTGGCGCGGCCGGCGCCGCTCCACCGACGCGCCGCTTCTTCCACAGGGCGCCAAGGGCGCTCAGAGGCACGCCTCCTGCGGAAGGGCCCGCCGGCCTGGGCGGGCCGCCAGCGCCGCCGCTGTGCGCCCGGGGGCGGCTGTCATGCGCACCGAGGCTGGCCAGCGAAACCGTCTCGGCGGGCGGAGCCTCGGCTCCACCTCCGCCAGCGCCGCCATCTGCGGCGGGCGCGGGCGCGGGGGCGCTCTCCGCATGCTGGGCACCTCCCGGCGCGGCGAGCGTGGCCGACGCAAGCCCGAAGAAATCACGGCACCCCTCCAGGGCCGAGCTGAACGAGCTCAGCACCGACATGCGCGGGCGCAGCCAGGAGGAGAGGCCTCCCGCAAGGTGGGCCAGTCGACCATCCTTGGAGTAGCGGCTGTCGCACAAGAGTACCGCACCGAAGTCGCCCCTGTGCCGAATAACCCGCCCGATCGTCTGGTTCACAGCACAGATCGCCTCGCGCGCGTACCACCGCCGGCCATCGCCGTCTGTACCGCGGCTGTCCAAGAACTTCTGCTTCATCACGACACGCAGGTCATTCCGCGCAGGATAGGGGATGCCCACGAGCATCACCAGGCGGCACTGGCGGTCGGTGAAATCGATGCCCTCGCACAGCTTGCCGCGGCAGACTGCGGCCAGGATGGCACCCCCCACGCCACCTGGCGATGGCGGCTGATCCAGCGCCTTGCTGTACAGCTCCATGGTCTGCCGAAGCTCCGCGTTCCCCTTGGGCTCGTCGAAGAGCGGTTTCCGCTGCTTGATCTCCTCCAAGACGCCCGACTGGCGCCAAGCCTGCAGCATCTGGTCCTTCTGCGAATAGGACTGGAAGGCCAGCAGGAGCCCGTCGGGCGCGCTGGCCGCCACGGCGGCCACCGACTTGCCCAGTTCTGCCGCGTACGCAGGGTTGCTCCGCTGCGAGAACGAGGCGTCGAAACTCACCCCAGCCGGCCCCGCCGGCAGCACGCCGCCCCAAAGCTGCTTCCGGGTGTCGATCACGTGGGAGTTCTCCAACCTCACCGGGAACGGCACCCCGAAGGACTCCGCGGTGGCCTCCATCGGCGACAGGGTTCCAGAGGTCACGATGATGGAGCGCACCTCCTGCTGGAGGATCTCCTTGAGGGTGACGGAGCACGAGAAGCACCAGAAGCAAAGGACCCTCTCTGGCCTCTCCGAACCGTCCTTGCGCGTTAAGGCGCCCACGTCCGAGAAGAAGTCCACATTCTTGCGCTTCGACGCGCGCTTGGCCTCCTTGGCCTCCTCATAGATAAGGACCTGGTAATTCTGGTCGAGCATGTTGGCCTCCTGCCGGAAGGCGGCCAGAAGGAGCGACTGAAGCTTGTCGAGGTAAACGCCGCCTGAGCGCTCGGTCCCCCTCCTCCTCCTCCTCCTCCTCCTCCTCCTCCTCCTCCTCGTTCTCATTCTCAACAGCTCTCCCCTACAATATCCCCCTCCCTGCTCCTCAGCGTCTCCATCACCGTCATCGTCAGCCTCTCCTTCATCCTCCTTATCTTCCTCTCCGTCTTCGTCACCCTTGTGTTCCTCGTCTCGTCTGGCATGGGCCTTCGACGGTCATCCTCGCAATGGGCGCGGTCAGGCATGCGGACGTTGCCACTTAGGCCCGACATGGATCTCCAATGGGGGCACGAAACGTGTGAGTGGTGTGCCAGAATGAGCGTGATCGGGCATGCAACTTTGCCACCTGGGCCCTTTGTGGAGCTCCGATGGAGCCACGAAGCGTGTGAATGGTGTGCCAGAATGGGAATGGTCAGGCATGCGGACTTTGCCACCTGGGCCTTCGGTGGAGCTCCCTCTAGGACAACGGGACGAGTGAGGGATGTGCCGAGGCAGAGACATGCGGAGGGCAGAAACAGTGCTGGGAAAAGGAAGGAGGAAGCGGGATGAGGAGACGCGCGGGACGCTGCGGATTCAAAACTAAGACCCAACAACCCAGGATGATTGGGAAAAATTGAGCCCAGGTTTTTTCGCGGGAATGCACGGGATCACTCGATAGCTTCCTCCTTCTCCTCCTCCTCATCCTCGTCCTTCCCCTCCTTCACCTCCTCCCCCTCCGCCCCCCTCCTCCGCCTCCTCCTCCTCCTCCTCCTCCTCCTCCTCCTCCTCCTCCTCCTCCTCCCCAGCATTCTCCTCCTCCTCCTCCTCCTCCTCCACCTCCCATCCTCATCCTCACCTCCTCATCCTCATCCTCCTCCTCCTCCTCCTCCTCTCATCATCATCATCATCATCATCATCATCATCATCATCATCAGCATCAGCATCATCAGCAGCAGCATCCTCATCCTCATCATCATCATCATCATCATCATCATCATCATCATCATCATCATCATCATCATCACTATCAACAGCATCATCATCATCATCATCATCATCATCATCATCATCGTCATCATCATCATCATCATCATCATCAGCATCATCATCATCATCATCATCATCATCCATCATCCATCATCCATCAACCATCATCCATCATCCATCATCATCATCAGCAGCAGCAGCAGCAGTAGCAGCATCAGCACCACCGCCACCATCATCATCATCATCAGCAGCATCATCATCATCATCATCATCATCATCATCATCATCATCATCGTCATCATCATCATCATCATCAGCATCATCATCCTCATCCTCATCCTCATCCTCATCATCATCATCATCATCATCATCATCATCATCCTTGTCATGGTGTTACTACTGCTCCTCCTCCTCCTCTTCCAGCTCCCCCTCCGCCTCCCCCTCGTATAGTGAAGTCTGGTGGTTACTGACCCTCCAGGCCCACTGTCGGTCGCTGCGCGAAAAACGCAGAATTACAGCCAACAAACGTGTGAAGTCATCCTCTGCTTCCTCCTCCTCCTCCTCCTCCTCATCCTCGTCCTCCTCCTCATCACCAGCATCGTCTTCATCATCATCATCATCATCACCACCACCACCACCACCACCATCATCATCATCATCATCATCATTCTCATCAGCAGCATTATCATCAGCAGCATTATCATCAGCATCGTCAGCAAGCTCATCATCAAAATCCTCATCATCATCAGCAGCATCATCAGCATCGTCATCATTATTACCGTCATAAGCATCATCATCATCGTCGTCATCACCGTCATTATCATCATCATCATCAGCGGCAGCAGCAGCATCATTCTCATCATCAGAAATCTCAAAATCCTCATTACCATCATCATCATCATCATCACCACCACCATCATCATCATCAGCAGCAGCATGACTATCACGATCAGCATCGTCATCACCATCATCATCACCAGCAGCAACAGCATCATCATCATCATCATCATCATCATCATCATCATCAGCATCATCATCATCATCAACACAATCATCGTCATCATCATTATCAGTATCGTCATCAGCATCATCATCATGATCATCATCATCACCATCATCATCAAAATCATGACCTTCATCATCATCATCATCATCATCATCAGCATCATCATTATCATCATCATCACCAGCAGCAACATCATCATCATCATCATCATCATCATCATCAGCATCATCATCATCATCATCAACACAATCATCGTCATCATCATTATCATTATCGTCATCAGCATCATCATCATGATCATCATCATCCTCATCATCATCAAAATCATGACCTTCATCATCATCATCATCATCAGCATCATCATCATCATCATCATCATCAGCATCCGCATCATCATCACCATCAGTGTCATAATCATCAACACCAGCAGCACAATCAGCATAATCAGAATCATCATCATAATCAGCATCGCCATCATCAGCATCAGCATCATCATCCTCATCAGCAGCATCATCATCAGCAGCATATGCATCATCGTCATCGTCAGCATCTTCAACCTTATCATCATCACCATCATCATAATCAGCAGCATCAACAGCATCGGCATCATCATCGTCTTCACCAGAATCATCGTCATCTTCACCAACATCATCGTCCTCATCATCGTCAGCAGCATCATCCCGAACAACATCAGCACCACCATCATCACGATCATCCTTAGCATCATCATCATCAACGTCATCATCAGCACCATCGTCGTCACCAGCGTCATCATCGTCGTCATCGGCGTGACCGCCACGACCACCACCATCATCATCATCATCATCAGCATCATCATCACCACCGTCGCCACCAGCATCATCAGCATCATCATCATCATCAGCATACGCAGCATCATCATCATCCTCCTCATCATCCTCATCAGCATCATCATCATCAGCAGCAGCATCAGCAACGTCATCATCACCATCATCATCACCATCGTGGGCATCATCATCATCATCAACAGCATCGGCATCATCATCAGCAGCAGCAACAGCACCATCATCACCGTCGTCGTCACCAGCGTCATCATCATCATCATCAGCAGCAGCATCGTCATCATCCTCCTCATCATCATCCTCATCATCAGCAGCATCATCATCATCATCAGCAGCAGCAGCAGCGGCAGCATCATTATCATCGTCATCATCATCAGCATCATCATCAGCAGCAGTATCAGCATCCTCGTCATCCTCCTCATCATCCTCATCATCATCACCATCATCATCAGCAGCATCAGCATCATCCTCATCATCATCGCCACAACCACCATCATCATCAGCAGACTATCACCTTCATCATCATCACCATAATAATCATCATCATCATCGTCGTCATCATCATCATCATATTAATCAGAATCATGATCATCATCAGCATCATCATCATCATCAGCAGCATTATCAGCATAATCATCATCATGATCATGATCATCATCATCGTCGTCAGCATAATCATCATCATCAGTATCATCCCCGTTATCATCATCATCATCATCACCATCATCCTCATCATCAACACCATCATCTTCATCAACCATCACCATCATCAGCAGCATGTGCATCATCGTAATCGTCAGCATCTTCAACATCACCATCATCATCGTCATCATCACCATCATCACCACCACCATCATCATCATCATCATCATCAACAGCATTTACATCATCATCGTCCACACCATAATCGTCATCATCAGCATCACCAACATCATCGTCCTTATCATCATCAGCATCAACGGCATCAGCATGACCAACATCAGCACCACCACCATCACGATCATCCTTAGCATCATCATCATCATAATTATCAGCATCATCATCGTCATCATCGTCAAGACCACCACGACCACCATCATCATCATCATCATCAGCATCATCAACATCCTCATCATCATCATCATCATCTTCATCATCATCATCATCATCATAATCGTCACCAGCATCATCATCATCATCAGCAGCAGCATCAGCATCATCCTCCTCATCATCATCAGCATCATCATCAGCAGCAACATCAGCTTCATCCTCATCATCATCCTCCTCATCAGGATCATTATCATCAGCAGCAGCATCTCATCATCAGCATCATCACCACCACCACCACTACCATCATCATCATTAGCAGAATCATCATCATCGGGCTCGCTTGAAGGACCAGTGTTGATGCCGCATGTGAGGACCATCACGGCCCTCTTGATAACTTGGAAGAAGCGCTTTATGTCTTTCTCCGTGATGCCGTCGCCCCTGCTAGAGGACTGCAAAACAAAGCTACAACTGGACACTCAACCAGCTCAGTGTGGTGGGGAAAGGAAGCACGAGGAGATGGAGCGAGATGACACGCGCGCCTTGCATCCAGCTCTTGGGATCAGGTGATCATGAGGTGAATGAAGGACGTGAGACTCTGGGGTCAGGCGAGCGGCGCAGTCACAAGGAAGTGGGCGTGTGGAGGCAGAGAATCGAGAGAGCGAATGATGCTCAGCGAAAAATCAAACGCACGAAGATAGGATTCGGAACGTGTCTTTTCTCACTCAGTATGCTGCTAAAGGCCAATACAGCACGAAGGCGCCTCGCCCTCTGCTCTGCCTCGTCCTCACACTCCGCATGCTTCTAGTCTTGACTCCCTGCGGGCGCCACCCAAAATGGGCGTTAAAACCGTCGAGAGGAGGCAATCGGGACGCGGGGCGCTTCGGCAATCACATGAGAATCCTACACCTACTGATCCATGTCCGGGGAGGGGGGGCTCGAAGATTGCGAGTGGGCACGACCGAAGTGAACCACCAATGGTGAACCCCTACTGGTCTGAATCGATAGGCGGTGAGGGCAGGACATGGAATTCGTCACTGGGCGCTTGCAGCGAGCGACGAACGAAGACGGTGACCGCGACGTCAACGGCGACGGCGACGAAGACGGCGGCACCAGCGACGACGGCGAAGGCGACGGAGACGGCAGCGACAGCGAATGCAGCGACGATGCGCAACGGAGACAGCGGCGGCGACGGCGGCGGCGACGACGACGGCGACGGCAGCCGAGAGCCGAGGAGCGGCCTGTGGCTCCCACGCGCCAGCAGCTCGAGAATGTAGCCTCGTCTAGATCGCGCGCGACGCGCTGGACGACCGCGCGACGCGCGAGCGCTGGGACGCGGGCAACGCTGCACGTCAGACCTCCAGTCGAAAATCCGCCGACGCTTCGGCGTGTGTGAGACGCTGTCGTCGTCTTCGTCGTCGTCGTCGCCGTCGTCTTCGTCGTCTTCGTTGTCTTCGTCGTCGTCGTCGTCGTCGCCGCCCCCCCCCCCATGTCCCGGCGGGTACCTGGAAGGGCGCCGCCGGGTGTCCAAGGGAGGTCCCGCGTCTAGGTAGGGTCCTGCGTTTTCGGCGTCAGGAGGGCGTTTCCCGGCCGCCAGACCGTCAAAAAATGACTCTGGATGACACACCCGCCCGCCCCAGGGAAGTGGTCAGAATCCCAAGGCGCCGCGCGCTTGCGCTGTGCCTGGCAGCCTGCAGAAATATCCAACTGCTTTCCACAATGCCCCAGGACGCCCCCAATAAAGCCTCAGCACAGCCCCGAGATGCCCCCAACATGGAACCGAGAAGCTTCAAGACAGCCCCAAGACTGCTAGAGGTAGCCCGTAAGTGGGCCCCAGAGGACCCAGAGATGCCATCTAGAGGTCAACTGAGGTTAATTGTGAGGCACCTGTGGGCTTTCATTGGGCGTCCTGGGGCTGTCCTGGGCCGTCTTGGGATCACCTTGGGCTGTCCTGGGGCCGGCCCTGTTGGGCCGTCTGGTACCCTTCGAGGCCGTCTTTCTTGCGGCCGTTCTGGAGCCCTCGTGCCGCCCTGTGAGGCTGTCCTAGGGCACTCTTGCCATGTCTTGGGCTGGGCGGCCAGCTGGGGACCCTCGCGGGGCCCTTTGTCGCCTGGGCCAGCCCACGATGCATCAACGGTGCTTGTGGAAACGGACCGCCATCCATCCGTGTAGCTGTTGCACAATTTGAAGCGTCGGGCGATGATATGTGAGGAAGTCTCAAGCGCCAGCCATGTAAAAAAAGTCCTGGCGAAGGACCAAGCCATACGTAGCTCCGAAGATCGTGAAACCGGAGGCATGAAGGAGCGGGGCCAACACAGAAGGACAGCGGCGTGTATGATGGAGAGAAAAAACATCGGCCACTCAGGCCTTCGGTGGAGACCCCCATGGAACCCCGAAGCGTGCGAGGGATGTTCCAGAAACTGGTGGCGGGGATGCACGTGGACGCAGCCAGTTGGGGCCTTCGGTGGAGCTCCCAAGGAGGCCACGAAACCTGTGAGGGGTGTTCCGAAATGGGTGGCGGAGACGCACGTGGACTCAGCCACTGGAGCCTTCGAGGGAGCCCCCATTATGGGGCCCACGAAACTGCGAGGGGGGTGCCGACATGGGTTCGGCGACGCAACGCGGGCGCTGCCACTGGAGCGTTCGGCGGGCCCCCCCCTACGGGGTCCACGAAGGATGGGAGGAGGGAGGGAAGAGGAGGAAGGAAAAGGAGCTGGAACGCGGCACTGGTTCTTTCAAACGAGGACCCCACATCACGAAAAAAAGAGAAAGAAAGAGATGAACCTTCTCAAGTTCCCTCTCCCGCTGACGACGACAAGATTGGAAGGCCCACGGAGAGAGAAAGCAGCATCCCACGGTGACACAAGCTCTGCGCCAGTGGCTCCCTTAGGGGTGTTGAAACCAGCGCCCCGCCTGAGACATCCTCACACATTACTCTCCAAGCGGAAAAAAAAAACTGGAACAGAAAACTAGCAAACCGCTAGAGACATCCCAACAAAACGGCCGCGAACGGGACCGTGTCATACCCCTTGGCGGTTCCCCCTTGGGGTGCTGAAACCAGCGCCCCACCTGAGACATCCTCACAATATGCTGTGTGTGTTGAGTAAGTCGGACAATGAGAAGGTATGAGTATGACTAAGTCTGGGTATGAGTGAGTCTCAGCATGAGTAATTATGAGTACGAGTAGGTCTGAGTATGAGTAGGTCTGAGTATGAGTAAGCTAATATGGTAAGGTCTGGCTATGAGTAAATCTGTGTATGATTAAGTCTGTGCATGAGTGAGTCTAGGTATGACGGGGAGGAGAAGGAGAAGATGAGGAAGGAGGAGTAGGAGGCGCCCAGGTAATAACAATAACCCCATCTTAGGATATGGGGAAAAAGGGGCAAGGCAGCGCGCTGGTCGTCCGATGGGCTCCCGAGGCCAGGACGGGCCGAAAACCGACGACGACCTCAGGCCATCTTGCTACCGCCAAACAGCGCTGCCGCAGGCTACGTGGCAGTAGATGGCTAGAGGCAGGCAGAGGCCTCCAGCAGGGGCTCCCGAAGCCCAAACGGACCCCAGCTCAGCCCGAGCCAAGCCCGCCTCGCGCCGCCCTGCCCAGACCAGCTGCGGGACGCACTAGGAAACAGCGGGGGCGAGATGACGCCGTCAAGCACGCGCGTCTCTAAGCCAAAGAAGCCAAGCACAGGGGAGGGGGGACAGAGGACACGACGAGGGGGACCTTGGGGGGGACGGGAGACAGCGACCCGAGCGGCGCCTTAGCTCAGCCGCCACTCGGGGTCTCGAGAAGATCTCAAAGGCAAGGGCCCCTGTCCTCCTCTCCTCGGGCGGCTTCAACCCCTTCCGGCGGAGGCCTCGGGAGGCCCCCCCTGCCCGTCTGGGGCCCGGGCCGCAGCGCCTCGGACCTCCCGCCCGCTGCTCATGCTTCGCCTCATTGCGTCTTTGTTGGCACCAGAGCGCGACGTTCAGCTCGCCGGCAATGCAACAACCCCCCACACCGGCAGCCGCCCCTCGAGCTCCTGAGGCCCCCCGGTCTTAATATCCCCCGCGTCGTCGTGAACTCCTGCCCACCTGACTCCTCCCGGAGCTCTGCCTGCACGAGCGCGAAGGGCCTGGGCAGCGACAAACTCGCGGCTGTCTGACGCTTCTAGGCGGACAAACCCAGGAAGCCCCCCTGAGCCCCCCCCTGAAACCCCCTCTACGTCCGCTGCAAAACGCCCAAATCTCGCACGAAAAGACGCCCTGGAACCACCCCAGACAGGTCGGCGCCGGGCTGGCCCTCAGCGCGCAGGCCCCCCAGGCAGACGTCGATCAGACGTTCGAGGGCGTTCCGGGAGCCCCCGCGCGCCGGCGGCCGAGCATCTTCATCGCGTGGACCAGCGAACCACGTCGGAACCCGTCAACAGCGGACGGCTCGCAAGCTGCGCGATCTGGTCGCCCTGCTGGCTGCCAATCTGACTCAGCTCCGCGAGGCCCCGGTCGTCGGCGCGCACCACGCGCTGGACGATCTCCCCCGTAGTTGCTCGGCCTGCTGCGCGACGATGGCCGACGCCCGCTGGAAGCGGCGCTCGCTGCCCTTTTTCTGGTTCTCCGTTACGATGGTCATATCGCGCCGGGCCGCTGCATCTCGGCGACCGCCTCAGCCCTCGCGCTCGGCGGCGGGCCGCGGCGCTCTGGCTCCGGGGCGCCCGGGAAAAGAGACTTTCAATGGGCGAAATCCCCGCCCACCGGCACGCGCGCCGGGCGCGGGCCCGCCGCCCGGCCCTGAGAGGCGGCCATACTGCGAGCCCACGGCGGACGCAAGCAGCCCACCCAGCCTCGGCGCTCCCGCGCGCCCGCGCAGCGGCCCACGGCGTCGATCATGCCCACGCATTGGCCGTTGAAACACATCGTCTTGATCACGGGGCCACCAGCGGTGGTCGTTCGCGTCGAGCTCGAGCTGGCCGGCATAGAACATCAGCCCCCCTGCGTCGGGCATCTTCTCGATCTCGAGGACCTGGACCAGCCGCTCCATCTCGGCCGGATACTCCAGCAGCTACTCCCACATCTCGTCGGGCATGTCCTCTATGATCTCGCCCTCTGGGCCCCCCACTGCTGCGGCGTGGGCCCCGCGCCCGAGCGCGCTCGGGCTGGGGGCTGCCTGCGGACCTCTCGATCGAGTCCTCGGCGAGGCCCGCTGCTTCTCATTGACGAGCGTGGGCACCCCTGCTCACGCACGGGCACGGGCGCCCGAGACACTCGCGCGAGAGTAGCCGCGGGCCCGAGCCGAGAGAGGCCTTGCTCCAGAACGGGTCGGCGGCCCCCAACCCCAGGGCCCTGGGTCGAGACGGAAAAGGAGGGGGGGCACACTGACAGATGCCTGCGAAGTGGGCCCGCCGCTGCAACTGCCGTTCTCTACCCTTATGCTGCCGCCTACACTACGAGCCGGCATCGGCCCCCTGCCGAGGCGAGGGGCGGGGCAGTCCTCGGCAGTCCTGAAGTCGGAGATCGGGAACTTGTCGGCACCCTCGGGGCCGAGGTAGAAGTCCCGCGGGTCGCGGCGCGCCAGGCCGACCGACCTGTGTTCCCGCCGGGTGGACCGTCAGCTTCCGATTGGCCCTCTCGCCGTCGCTGTCGACCACCATCGCGCCGTCGCGCAGGTCGATCGCCGCCCCGACCACGTCGAGCAGGCTCGCCGGGACTGGGCAGGCCTGCGGCAGCACGCGGAACTCCACGACGCCGCAGCCAGCAACGGTCACGGGCACCTACGCCAAACCGATGGGACTGGCGCGGCCGCCGACGCCCGAGGCTGCGATTCTCCCGCGCGGTGCCCAGTCGACCATCAGCTTGTAAGCCGACGTCGTTCATGGCCTGCGCGAGGCAGCGCAAGCGGGCTTCCCGATCAGAGCCTGGGCAGCGGCGGCGCCCACCAAGACGTGAGCCCCCTCGTCCTTCAGGCTCAAAAACACGCGGAGGGCGTCGGAGACCATGCGGCGGTCAGTGAGATCGTTCCACCGCTCGATCAGCAAGGTGAGTTGATCGACCACCCCCCTCCGCCACGCCAGCGCGAGGATCGAAGCCCGTGCCATTGAACTCGGAGGGGCCGCTCGCGTTGCTGTAAAGCGAAACGCCTGTCCCGGCGCCTGGTCGCGGCGGCGCCCGCCACCTCACCTCCACGGCCGGCCTCGCCGGCTAGTCTGTCACCCTTCGAGCGGCACGGTTTGCGACCGCCGCAGTTGGCGCCGCGACCTCTTCTTCAAAGCGGACCCCGCCAACCTCTTGAAACCTGGCTTGGCTCGACGGCGGTCGAAGAAGCCCCACCTTCTTAGCCATCTTCAGATGCCGAGACTCCTCCCACGCACGACGTCGCTCTCCCCCGTAGCGCTCCTCCACCACGGCGGCGAGCACGTCCATCACCCCGTGCTCGTCGAGGTCCTGTTGTTCTAGGGATACGCAGAACGACTCCGCCTCGTCATCCGGGAGCTCGGCCTCGCCTCACCGTCCTCGTCGGAGTACGTCTCCAGCTCTTCTTCGGCGCCATGGTGGTAGGTCCGAAATGGGGGAGGGAGTGGCGGGTGGCAAGAACTACTTCTCGGTCACGTCCATGCTCAGAAGCGCGAGTCGCAAAACTGGCGAAGTCATCCTTGCCGCCCACCAGCGTTCCCATGTTCAACCGACTGCGAGCCGACAGCCCAGCTCCCTCCTCGAGGAACCGAGCGCGAACTTGATCTGGCAAAACCAATCCGTGGGTTTCGGCCTCGGCCACCTGGGCGCCGCGTCGACGGACAGAATATGTGAGCGTCTCTCCTCGCCAGATCATGGCTTCGAACAGCGCCTGGTTCTGAGTTTATCGCTGACGATCTCCAGGGCGTTCACCGTTCAGGATAGATAGGTGTTCCAGAACTTTTGTTGCAGATCGACCGGCAAATACTCCACCACCTTTGTTGCCTGCTGCTCCGGTCGGGAACCCACCCTGGCCTTCCAGGAGGTCAGGATATGACAGACAAGCTCTAGATTCTCGAATCCGTGCCAATGAGGCGGGGGGCTTAAAGTCACGGCTGCGTTGGCTCCAGTCAGAGCTGCCTGACCACCAGCTGTTGTCTGCAAAACCTGTCCATCTCCAGCCGCCCCACCTTCCGTCGTACGATTCTCGAGCCTTCTCTAGACCAACCTCGCCAATAGTGCTTCAGCTGGTGCACTGGCCGTCCCCGGCTGGGCTGGGATCCGTGGACCGCGTCCGTCTCTCCATGGGTCGGCATCATCATCATTAGTTGTTCCCGTCAATGGTACGGGCATTCCGCGTTGCTGTGCGGCTCGCTCTCCCGTTTCCGTCTTCACCACGCTTTCCCTCCTCCTTCTCCAACCAGCGTTCCGCTTACCAGCTGTCTCAGCAAGCTGGGGGCGAGGTGGCGAGTCGGGCTAATACGGGGTACGTACAAATTGAAGGAGGCAGAGGCGGAAAGAGAGACACATATCTCCTGTGCAGACCTTATATACAGAAAATCCTCTGTCGCCATCCAGCAGTTTCACTGCGTAGCACAGAAAGAGCCAGTATTGGTGCCTCTTGCGGTCGCCACGCCAGACGCGCGTGAGCAGTGACCCTCGGTGTAGAGAACTACACGTTCAGCACGAGTTCGTGGAATGCCTGTGCGCCAAGCCCCAAGAGCCGCGTCGCGAGAAGTGCGCGGTGGAAGGACTGGTGACCGAAGTAGAGAGGGGGCCACGAAACGGAGATCAGCTGATGCCGCTCCGAGGGCACTCTCACGGCAGCGTCCAGGCAGCTGGCAGGAATGGCGGCAGCGCCTCTGGAGCTGCGGCCAGCAGCCGGATCCCGCCCGACAACGGTGCGGAGGGGAAACGCGCGAAGGAGGAGGAGGAGGAGGAGAAGGAGGAGGAGGAGGAGGAGGAGAAAGAGCGAGTCAGGAGTGAGGAGTGAGGAGTGAGGAGTGAGGAGGGAGGAGGGAGGAGGAGGAGGAGGAGGAGGAGGAGGAGGAGACGACGGGAGAGGGGGAGATGAAGAAAAATGGGAAGGAGGAGGAAGAGGGCGGCGGAAAGAGGAGGAAGAAGGAGGGAGAGAAGCGTCACCAAGGGATGCGTCGGCGCGCAACTGGCGCAACCCGCAGCCGAGGGCGCGACTTCCCGGCTTCTTCGCCAGCGTGCGGTCGGCCGTGGCGTCGCGCTCGAGGCGCACGTCGCAGATGGCGTCCTCGAGGGCCAGAAAGCTCCTCTGAAGGGGAGAAGCAGGCAGGCAGGCACGTCCTCATCCTCGTCCTCGTCCTCGTCCTCCTCCTCCTCCTCCTCCTCCACCTCCTCCTCCATGTCCTCTCCTCTTCTTTCTTCCCCCCCTCCTCCTTCCCCTCCTCCTACATTTCCTGCTCCTCCTCCTCCGCCTCGTGCACCATGAACCTCCTCTGGGAGGGAGAGGTAAGAAGCATGCAAGCATGCACAAAGGCAAGAACGAGGGAACGGAACGGAACGGAACGGAACATCTGTGCGGGCATGCGCCGGGGCCATTTAAGGGCGAGGCGGGTGAGGCCTCGCATGAGACTGCGCGCGCTGGGCGCCTACTCAGGGAGATGCGTACTTCACCAAATTGTCTGCCAAATGTTCCCACTCCTTTGTTGTGGCCGGTCGTAGCTATGTGCTGTCATTGAGGTCGTACTGCATTCTCGGTGTCTGGCGTTGGTGGAGGTGGAAGTGGAGAGTTGGATGCTAGAGGTTGGAGGTCGGATTGCTGAGCTGCTCGACGCTGGAGGTCGATTGGTGGAGGTGGCAATGGAGAGTCGGATGCTAGAGGTTGGAGGTCGGAATGCTGAGCTGGTGGACGTTTGAGGTCGAGAGGTGGAGGTGGAAGTGGAGAGTCGGATGTTAGAGGCTGGATGTCGGAATACTGAATTGGTGGACGCTGGAGGTCGATTGGCGGATGGGACGGGGATGGGAGGGGCGAGGGGGAGGGGAGGGGAGAGGGGGAGGGCAGGAACGAGGCAGGGGGATGGGAGGGGAGAGGGGGAGAACCGAGGTTCGAAGTTCAAGGGGAAGGTGTTCTCCATTCGATATGTTGGGTTTGCGAGCTCTGAATACATGCCTGCCCACCAGCCCTCCATGACGCGGCCATTAGGCCTGACGAGTTCCCGAGTGTCACTGAGAGTCCCGCCTCGCCAGCCCTGCATACCGCGGCCAGCCGCCAGGCACCTAGAGTCCTCGAGTGTCACTGAGAATCGCCCCCCGCCAAGCCCCACCAGGGAGGCGTCACGGCGTCACGCCGTCCAGGCGTCACGATTTAATGCCGTCCACTGACATCTAGAATAGGCATGAAAAAACACCTCAAATACACAGAGCAAGCATATGCAGCAAGGACATGTATACATAACGGACACCACGGGTATACATCAACAACAGACAGTGGTGACGGAACTCAAGCACATATACCAATGACATGCATCCATAACAAGTATCTAGAGCTCCCAAGCCGAAGAAGCATCAAGACCAGACATCAAGTACTGACAGCAGAAACGGCCATCCTGGACAGGTTCAGGAACAGGCAAGAGCAAACAAGAAAGTCATGCGCCAAGGGCACGCATCAAGAGCACGCATCCACAATATCCACCAGGGACACACAAAAGAAACATGCATCAATAATACGAATCGAACTATGACCAGTCTATCATCATCTACAGCACACCTCACTGCTACACATCAAGACAAGCATCAAGAATGCTGAGCAAGAACAAGCATCACGACCAGGTACCAACAACATACTTCCACAACGGGCATCAAGCACCGCATATACAAATCAGATGAACCAAGATCATAGTTTCACAAAAGGCAATTATAATCGACATCAGCGACACACATCAGTGACAGCAGCGTTGCGACAAACATGTAGAGTCGACCTACACGGCAGGCACAACCGTAGTTTGATCGTACAAAAGGTGAACGTACAACACAGAGAAAATATCCAATTAGTGTATACGAACATGAAACAACAGACATACATACCAAGCACGCTTAACATGTGGAATTGTCAGCGCAGTGGTTTGGCATAGAAAATTGTAGAATCACACGCGACAGACTTCGAACCCATGTTTAGCAAATCCCTGGTCGGGATCGCCCTCAACAAAATCAATCGACATGTTCGACCTACGGGTGCCCATATCTGGCGCAAGGAAACTCAAAATCATCGACCCCGGATGAAAAGCTGGCCTGGACCAGCTGGAGGCTGGGGACCAACTGGAGACCAACATGGCGGAACTGCGCCTCATCCTCCCCCTCTTCTCCCCCGCCTGCTACTCTTCCTCCTCCACTTCCTCTTCCCCTCTCTATTCCTCCTCCAACTAGGGGAAGGGGGAGGGGAGGAGACAGAAGGAAGGAGGGAAGCGGAGCAGGAGAAGAGGGAGCGGAAACGGTTGGGAGGGGAGAAAGGAAGGTGAATCAGCATGCGGGAGGGGAGGAGAAGGGTAGACCTTGGCACGAAGAGTGAGTTGGAGGAAAACGGAACAAAGGGGGAGGGGAGGATAGATGAGGAGGGGGAGATAATCAGCAGAGAGAGGAGGCCTCCCCCGCAAATCGTGTCTCGAGGTATTTCTCGACCCGCATCCACTGACCAACACATGCGGCGAGTCCAGAGAAGAGGCAACAAGAGAGGAGCCACAGGAGCAGGAGCAGGAAGAGCGGGAGGAGCACGAGGTACAGCCGAAGAGGGAAAAGAATGGAGGCGACAACGACGAGGAAGGAATCGGATCCGAAATATCCTGCCCTCGCTGAGTCAAAGGCGCAATTCTGAAATACTGGGAGCTAAACGCAAACACTGAGACGAGCTCAACGCTGTAGCGGGCGTTCCATGTACAGACAAAAGTATAACGTCGCGGCGCGGCAAAAGCAATATGCTCGCGCGTCGGGGCAGCACCTGGAAACGGAGTCGCGACTTGGCCAACATGCAAAAGGGCGAGAAGAGAGAGAGAGAGAGAGAGAGAGAGAGAAAGAGAGAGAGAGAGAGAGAGCGGCCGCAGGGAGGGGGCCGAAACGTGGGGGGCACTAACGCAGCGAGGCCGCGGGGAGCGCGCGGGGGCGGCCAGGCTGAAGGGCGACCCCTGGCAGCAATCGCGGGGCGGCATCACGACGTACCCATGGGCGGGGCTAGCATCCGCAGTGCGGGCGGGGCCCAGCAAGTGGAGGAGGGGGAGCACGAGCAACCAGTAAACTGGGGCGCCAGGGCGGGGGGAGGCAGCGGCGTGGGCGCCCGGCGGCGGGCCAGGGGCGCGGCGCGACCAGCTCTGCGGCGGCTGCGACGGCGGCCCCAGGGCGGAGAACGGCAGGCGGAGCAGCGGCGCAGCACCACTGGGCAGCCAGAGCGCAGGCCACAGGGGCGAGGTGCCGAGGGCCAACGGCGGAGAAGCGCACGTCATCTCAAAGCCAGCGCACGGCGTCACAGCATGGGATTTGGCGGAACTCAATGCAAGTGGCGCACTGGCGGAGTTCCCACGAAGGGAAGGCAATGGAGAAGGACGGGCCGCCACGCGGCGCCGCCCCACTAGCGCGGGGGCGCCGGGGAAGGCGGCGGCCAGGACTGCCTGGGGAGCGGCGGGGCACTCCGCACGCCCGGAGGAGGGCGGCGCCACGCGCAAGGAGCACGGGCACGGGCCCAGGGCGGGAAGGCAAAAGCAGGAGGTGGGCTGCAACGGCGGAGACTCTCAAACGGGACAGCGCTCACTGCCGCTAGGGGGAAGGCCACCTGCAGAGCCCTGGGGCTGCGGGCACCAGCCACCGCCAGGGCGCAGCCCAGCGTTGAGTTGACGCCTGCTGGCGACGCTCCCGGGTCGCATCCACCGCACCGACGTCTAGCGCGCGCGTCCTCTGGCGGCGGAGGGCGCCCCCGGCCCCTTCGGCGCCGTCGCCGGCGGGCCCCGGGCGGGCGCGCACTTCCGTCATGAAGGCCCGCAGCAGCCGCCCCCCCTTTTCCTGGGCCGCCCCAGGCCATCTACTCGGTGGCCCGACGGCCCCAGGGACGGGCCTGGCGGGCCACCGCGCCGCGCACGCACGGTTATTCTGCAAAGGGCCCTGGAACATGCTACTGGGCGAACCTTGCTGAAACAAGTGCGCAAGCTTGTCGTTGTTGAAAGCGTCGCATGCTAGGACTCGCACTGTTTCGCCCTTCTGATCCGTTCCCGCGAGGTGCCGCGGGTGGCGGGCTGCGCGCGGCCGATCTGGCAGGCGCGGCCACTGCCGAAGCTGCACTGCGCGTATCCTAACTGCTGGGCCAGGCGCCTGGCCACTCCTTTCTGGCCACGGCTTTGCGCGTCTAGGTGGCCTTGCAGGAGGACCTGGGCTTTGCCCCCTCGTCGCAGGGCTGACTGGCTGGCCGCGCGCCATCGACGTCGGCGACGCATCCCAGGGGGGGCGCCCAGTCGCCCGATGCGGCCAGGGGCAAGCAGGCGGGCGCGGCGCCCCAGTCACCACCGTCGCAATCACAGCCGTCGCGCAGGTCCCCGCCCATGACCCACAGGGGGGTGACGTCCACCCACCCTGGGCATTGTCCTGGGGATCTCTGGGGTGGCCCTGCCTCCCGCGAGAGTGCAAGGGTTGCCACCCTGGCCCCGCACTTCCTCGGGTCGGGGGCCCCATCTCCCCGCCGCTGGCCAGCGCGCCCCCGGTGCTCTTCGCCGGCGAAGCGGGCTTCTTCAGGAAGCATGCTCGGCAGATCTCAATGCAACCCAGAAGTTCCCAAAGAGACCCCAGCGCATCCACGGGGCCCTGCGGCACTGAAACCTCGGCCTGCCGCTCGGCCCCGGCGGTTGCCAATCGGGCCGGTACGGATGACACACGAGAGCCACCTCTTGATGGGCCCCTTCGCCTGCGACGGCACGGCAACACCATGGGCCGGCGCTGCCGGGAATTTAGGCAAACCCAAACGCGGCTAACTGCCGCGCTTGCTGGCGGGAAAGCTGCTCCGAGCGCAGCGGGGCTGGGCCTCGGCGGGCGCCGCGACCACGATCATCCCGACGGAGGAGGACGGGCCCGCAGCCGCACGCCGATAAGCAGAGGGGCCAGCGGGCAAGTGGAGGAGGGGGGCACCGCACCGAGCCTCGCGTCACCTGGAAGCTAATCTGGCCCTGCTTCGAGCGCATCCGCGAGCGCGTCGACGCCCCCGGGACCGAGGCAATTGCAGTCTCCGCTCGGGTTGAGCGGCGGGATGGGCGGGCGGGGGAAAAAACACGCGCGCCCCGCG